TAATCAATAGAATTTAAAAGTCTTTAGAATATTTTTATATTTTGAGAATAGATTGCTTATAGGTCATATGTGGAGGTCGAGGTTGATTCGGATCACTAACCAAATTTAAATAAATGTGGAATTACTTTATGCAGAATTAACATTTCTGTGAACTGTATTTAAAAAAAAAATAATTAGAGTTGTACATGGTCTGAAAATCTAAAGCAGTTTATCATGTTCTAATGCATGAACAATCAAATACATTCTTAGATGAGAACTATTATGAATATAATAGAATAGAATATTGCTTTATTACAACGTTAAAGAAAATTTGACAATTCTTTTTTTGGTTTTTACACATGTAGAAGGTGTATTATGTGTCTCGTTAGACCCCATCCTGATTTATCACACAGAATACAAACAAATCAACGTTATTACTTTAGGTATAGATAACTTTTTAATTTGATATATATTATTGATGCATGAATTAAATAAATAAATGGCGGTTTCATTGAAACCATAATACTAGTGAGCCATAAGTTTTGATTTTTATATTTTCTGAATATTTACATAATTTATTAATACGGTTTGATTTGTTCCAACCTAATGACTAATGAGTTTATAGACGTTATGCATAATTACTCTGCTTCAACTTGCAATGAAATGAATTGAAAACTTTCTGTCCTGCCTTCCTGACTTTCTGTTATGTCTTCCTGGCTGTTATGTCGTGAATAATTTAGCACGAAAGACACCATAATATTGCATTCCACTTCTGAAGTTTTGTACTGGTGTAGTCTGTAGTCAACTTTGTGCATCTTTTTATGAAACGTTTGTGCTTTTATGACATTTTACAGCTCTGTAACTACCGGAAGTATACACTTATGAATAAATACCTATACTTAAAAATAAAAAGTCTTTCAGCAATAAATGGAGTTTATGTTGTAGTATTGAACAAGTAATTCTCATGGCGGAATTAGTTAAACATAATCGAGGTTAAAGAAATGTGAGCCTAAAATGTCATATATACCATTTATAAGCTTATTTAAAACTTGTGGTTAAAATTCATTCTTAAAATATATTTATATATTAAAATACAATAAATCTATCAAATTGTGGCAGATTCAAAATTTGTACTGATTCATTTCTGACATAAATAACTGGTAATTTTATGACTGACCCCATCTATATTTAAGAATCACATACTTGTTGAACTATATGTTTATACTACATTGTATTTGACTGGTTGTTTGAAATACAGAATACAAAATTTCACAAGACTGTAAACTAGAATGAATATGAACACAATTAACAGCTAAAAAAGTATATTTCAAATATATGTTTATCAAAAGTAAAAATAATTTAATTTTTATTGTTGCTGATAAACACAAATACATATTTGTGATTATCATGCACATTTATTATAAACATTTAATAATGATATACTTTGTTATTCAAATTCCCTTTGGCAAGGATATAATTGAACATTATTTATAGTAGCATGGGGTGAACAAAACAATACAAAAACATTTATTACTCTTCTTATTAAGTATAAACTAATTTGTCCTGTGAATAATGGTCACTGCAGCAATAGGTACATAATATCATGAAACCATATTGAGTATCTGAAGTATATAGACTAGTGCCACTTGGTCAAGATAGTTTTATGCAGATTGATTAGACGTTACTGTACTATTTAGTATGTTATTCAGTTGGGAATATTAGTGAATTGTCATTGCTTATCAGTTTACAGGGCAATTGGAAATAATCACATAATCCATATTTATATTTTTCACTTAGTTAAACCACCATCAGTGAGTTTGAGTGGATACAGCACTACAGTAAAGAGTGGTGATATGTTGATATTAACCTGTGAAACTGACAGTAGTAATCCTGCAGCTGTTATATCATGGTATAAAGATGGTGATATAATCACTGGGAATTCAGATGAAACAATGTCAGATTATTCAGAGAGAAGTGGAAATAATGGTGGTAGAATAAAACAATAAGATTTAGATATAAGATTACTACCATCCCATAATATGGTACAATATCAATGTAAAGCTGTTACTACTGAGGTTAATAGTATATCAGTAGATTCAACCACTCAACAAATCACTGTATATTGTAAGTATTATTCTACACTATACATACATACAGTATTAGAGTTAACTAATAATATGGTACATTATCAATGTAAAGCTGTTACTAATGAGGTTAATAGTATATCAGTAGATTCAACCACTCAACAAATCACTGTATATTGTAAGTATTATTCTTCACTATACATACATACATACATACAGTATTAGAGTTAACTAATAATATGGAACATTATCAATGTAAAGCTGTTACTACTGAGGTTAATAGTATATCAGTAGATACAACCACTCAACAAATCACTGTATATTGTAAGTATTATTCTACACTATACATACATACAGTATTAGAGTTAACTAATAATATGGTACAATATCACTGTAATGCTGTTACTACTGAGGTTAATAGTATATCAGTAGATTCAACCACTCAACAAATCACTGTATATTGTAAATATTATTCTACACTATACAAACTTACCCTATTAGAGTTAACTAATAATATGGTACATTATCAATGTAAAGCTGTTACTACTGAGATTAATATTATATCAGTAGATTCAACCATTCAACAAATCACTGTATATTGTAAATATTATTCTACACTATACAAACATACCCTATTAGAGTTAACTAATAATATGGTACATTATCAATGTAAAGCTGTTACTACTGAGGTTAATAGTATATCAGTAGATTCAACCACTCAACAAATCACTGTATATTGTAAGTATTATTCTACACTATAAATACATACATACAGTATTAGAGTTAACTAATAATATGGTACATTATCAATGTAAAGCTGTTACTACTGAGGTTAATAGTATATCAGTAGATTCAACCACTCAACAAATCACTGTATATTGTAAGTATTATTCTACACTATAAATACATACATACAGTATTAGAGTTAACTAATAATATGGTACAATATCAATGTAAAGCTGTTACTACTGAGGTTAATAGTATATCAGTAGATTCAACCACTCATAAATTCACTTTATAATGTAAGTATAAAGCTGCATGCAGTATTTAAGTTAGATTCAGTCAAATAATGACAGTGTACGTTATGTAAGTATTATTTATTTATTAGAGGTATTATGTTTGTGGGGAGTTGACTAAACTGTGTGATGAAAATTAAACTATTATGTGAGTATATTTCGTTATATCAAAAGCGTGTACAAATGTGTGTATAGTATAAACTATAATGCATAGTTAACTACTGGATATTCCAATAATACTTCTGGGTATTAGCAATGTTTTATCTTGTCTGCCGTATTTGTATGTATTATCACAGAATATGGCTTTGGCTGATGTTTGGGATAAAGAAAATACATTTATTTATTTGTTTATTTATTTATTTATTAGTTTATTTATTTATTTATTTAGTTCCTCCTAGTTATTTATATTCATGTACAACCCAACTGACTGGTTACCCTGGCAACATAGACCATGTGATGGAAGATGACAATTTAATGTTGACATGTACATCGTGTAGCAGTAACCCAGATGCAGTTTTAGAATGGTACCAAGACAACCAACCAATATCAAATGACAAGCCAATGACGTATTCCAATGATGTACACAATCATGGAAGGATGTCAATACAAGAACTGAGCCTAGTTTTATCATATCGTCACCACAACAGTGAATTCTACTGTGTAGCTGTGAATAACGAGTTTGATAGAAGTCACGTGTCCACATCTGAGCCAGTGAAATTGAATGTTTATTGTAAATATGAATTATATTGGTTAGCACGTAATCTATAATTGTATGTCCCAAACCATCTCTTTCCAGTGCACTTAGATACATTATGAATTTATGAATATATTGAAAAAAGTTTTAGTAATTGTGTGAATTAAAATTGTCTTGCATGTTCATTTCAAATTGAAAGCATACATTTTTAACTGAATCGCTGAAAATATAATTTAAAATATGTAAAATAAAAGCCCATGCTATATTATCGATATCACACGCTTCTTTATATTTAGGTTTAACCTTCAATGGACATCTGTCCATTTGTTTGCAGTGCATACCATTTTGATTGATGGAGGATATAGTGTACCCTCATAGAATACTCATTTCATATCAATTAGATTTGAACAATTTCGGTGATGAAGTTAGCTGGGCATGTCACGGTGAACTGCATTATGTCTTGTGGGTTTGCATAAATTTACTTAACCTCCAGAGTTTACTAGAATGATTTGATATGAATACAAACATGTTTAAAACATATCTATTAGATAAATTAAAATCATGCTAGATATTTAATGCTGTAAAATCACATTGACTTGTGTTAACATAACATGCAGTGAATTGCCGTATAGCTAAGGTTAGAAAATA